AGCCTAAGCTTTGCACCTTCCATTTTGTGGTCCTTGGTGAAAATAGCTTTAGGAAACACAGTACTGGCACGATGCTGAGAGCAATCAACCGTAATGGTCTCCAACACTGGTCTGTATGTTTGCTTGCCAGGACCAATTTTAATTACTGTAGCTTTGCATTAAATTTTGAAACTGAATGAGATTTTCAATTCTATCTTTTTCAATATTTCGGTTATTTGGGGCCACTTGCATTTTCATATTAATTTTAGGGTCAGAATCTCTATTTCTGCAAAAAGCCATCAGAAATTTGAATTAGAATTTTGAATCTATTGCCGAAACTGGTTTGGCTCAGTGGATAGAGCATTGATCTGCAGACTAAAAGGTCCCAGGTTCGATTCCGGTCAAGGGCATGTACCCTGGTGTGGGGTGTGCAGGAGGCAGCTGGTCGATGTCTCTCTCTCATCGATGTTTCTAGTTCTATCTCCTCTCCCTTCTTCTCTGTAAAAAATCAATAAAATATATTTAAAAAGAAGAATTTTGAATCTATTGATTGCCTTAAGTAATAATGCCTTCTCAATATTATAATATTCATCTATAACATGGGACATCTTTCCATCGTTATTCTTTAACTTCTTTTAAACTGTTTTGTAGTTTTCAGTGTTGAGGGCTTTCACCTCCTTAATTTTATTCTTATATATTTTATTCTTCTGAATGCTATTATAAATATAATTGTTTTCTCTTTAAAAAATGTTATTGATTTTTATAGAGGAATAGAAACATCCATTAGTTGCCTTCTGCATGCTCTCTCCTGGGGATCAAGTCCATAGGAATCAAACAGGGACCTCTTGGTTCATGAGTTGATGCTCAACCACTGAGCCAAACCAGCCAGACTAGAATTTAAATTTGGTGTATATGGAAAATGCTGTTTTTTGTGTATTGATGCTATACTCTGTAACTTTGCTTAACACATTAGCCCCAATGGGTTTTGTGTCCTCTATGGGATTTTTTATGTATAGAACCATGTAATGTTTACATATAGTTTCATTTCTTCCTTTCCATTTCAGATGACTTGAATTTTTCTTGCCTAATTGCTCTGGCTAGGACTTAAACAGTACATTGTTGAATAACAGTGGAGGAAACAAGAATCTTTGCTCCTACTAAAGGGTAGTATTGTTTTTCACCAATGAGGCCATTTTTATTTTTGTTAATGCCCTTTATTATGTTGAAGTTCCTTCTATTACTGTGGTTTTATTGTGAAAGGATCTTGGATTTTATCAAGTTTCAACCCCCCCCTCCCACAACTATTGAGGTGATTATGATTCTCCCCCTCCCCCATTCTATTTGTGGCTATATAACATTACTTCATGTTGAAGCACCCTTGCATCCCTGGGACAAATCCTACCTGGTCATGATGTGTAATACTTATCGGCTGTTGGATTGTTAATATTAAAAAAAAATTTTTTTTAATTGATTTCAGCGGAAGAGATAGAAACATCAGTGATGACAAGGAATCATTGATTGGCTGCCTTCTGCATGCCCCATACTGAAGCCCGAAACCCAGGCATGTGTTCTTGACAGGAATTGAACCAGGAACCCTTCAGTCCACAGGCTGATGCTCTATCCACTGAGCCAAACTGGTTAGGGCATGGATTGTTAGTATTTTTATGTATATATACATAAGGAATACTTGCGTACAGTTTTCTTTTCTTGTGATCTTTGTCTGGCATTGATATCAGGATAATACTTCATAGATGTTAGAGTGTTTCCTCATCTTTTCTTTTTGAAAGGGTCTAAGATTGGTGTTAATTCCTTAAATATTTGTTATTTGAATTCATCAAACATGTGGGATCTTTGAATTAGGCAATGATTCCTTACATAGGCATAGCAACCAAAGAAAAAATAACTTTAACTCTTTATCAAAATGATTGTGTCAATTATCATCAAGAAAAAGACAAATCAATGGAATGAGACAAATCAATGGAATTTGCAAAAAAGATTTGCAAATTATGAGTCACATATTCAACTATATAAAGTTAATAAAATAATAAAAAATGGGCAAAGGATTTAAATAGAAAGTAAAATTGTTGTAAGTGGTTGACTTTGCAGAATTTTTGTTTTGTAATATGGGTATTATTTTTTATATTTTATTAATTTTTTAAAGAGAAGAAGGGAGAGGGATAGTTAGAAACATCGATGAGAAACACTGATCAGTTGCCTCCTACACACCCTCCACTGGGGATGTGCCCGCAACAAAGGTACATGCCCTTGACTTGAATCAAATCTGGGACACTTCAGTCCACAGGCCGATGTTGCTCTATCCACTGAGCCAAACCGGTCTCAGCTATTTTTTAATTTTATACAAATGATTTTTATTGGCTTCTTTGATTTGTTTTTATATCAAAGTCTCATGTAGTTTAGACAGTTTGTCAACCTCAGCACTATTGAAATTTTGGACTATCCTGTGCACTGTGGGATGTTTCGTGCCCCCAGTTGTGACAAAAATGTATTCAGTCAAGTTCAACATAGGAAATATATATATATATATATACACATATATACATATACATATACATATACATATACATATATATATATATATATATATATATATATATATATATATATATATATATATAGTGCCAGATGAGTGCTAGAATTATCATGGTAGAACTTCACAAATTATGTAACCTCCTGGTTCATAGGTTGATGCTGGGCTGTACTTTTTTTGATATCCTTTGACATCAATATACAGCCCTAATGTGTAACAGGTTAAGAAGCCTGCCAGATGTTAAGGGTATTTAAAGCTTGTGAGTTAAGATGCCAGGCTTTTTTCTTAAATCCTCCCCTGATATGTTCATTGATTTTAGAGAGAGGAAGAGAAATATTTATGTGAAAGTGATACATCAACCCGTTGCTCCCCTTCCCCCACCCTAACTGGGGATTGAATTCAAGCCTTTTGGTGTAGCTCCAAACAATTGAACCAGGATCAGGCTTTTGTTTTGTTTTGAAAAACAGTTAACCAGCCTGGTCGGCAAAGCTCAGTGGTCAAGCACTGACACGCAAACCAGGAAATGTGCCCAGGTTGCAGGCTCCATCCTCAGTGGGGGGCATCTGGGAGGCAGCAAATGGATGTTTTTCTCTCAAAGATGTTTCTATTTCTCTCTCCCTCTCACTTTTTCTCTCTAAAAATAAAAACATTAAAGCATTGCTTAAAAAAAAAAACCAAAAAAACCCACAACACATATACACACAAAAACTCCCAAAAACCTCCCCCTAACTTTATCCATCAGGATCAACTACATTCTAGTGTAGGAGTTCATGAGGCAACTAAATTGACCAGAATTTTCTAACTCAAAGTTCCAGGAACCAAAGTTGATACTCGTCTAGCATAGACATTACAGCTTTTTTAAACATTAATATCAATAACACACATCAACGCTTTAAAAAAAGTCATGACTACTCCCAGTAAGTTAGCCAAAGGCCAAGACTAAGACCTGATCGTCACATGACCTGAACCTACGGTCCACCAATACTGTTCTCTCTGACACTTGTTTTTGCACCTTCTCCAGCACAGCTAGTGCTCTGCCTGGGGGCCGGCTCCTTGTCTGTGGGGCCTGCTTTTCTGCCCCTAGTCAGGAGGAAACAGAATCCAGATCTGGCAGCTAAGTCATTGGTGGAAACAGATCTAGAATCCATTTTTGCTGTTTCTGGGTATTACATTAAACTTATACTTTCTTTGATTAAGTAATTAAAAAAAACACCTCTCATCAATGAAACCTTCCTTCATTAAAAAAGGCACCAAAGAGATTACTTCAGTATATCAACTTGAGAGTCATTTCCTATTCAATATAATAAAACAAGAGAATTCAAAAATAAAATGTGGTCACTCGCAACATAGCAAGAGTAATGTCATTTAGGTGGTTGTTTAAAAAACTCTTAGAAACCCAATTGTATTTTCATCACCTACTAAGAGACACTATTAAAATATAAAAACAGAAAGAAACATAAGGTTTGGAAAAGGTAGACTTTTAATAACTGCTTTTATCACCAAGTTAAGTCATGCAGTTACAAAGTAGTTAGAAATTTCTGAAAGGATATTGTTAAAAAAAGAAAAAGCTCATTCTTACATAAATAGTATCGAGCACTTCATTGGGACACTGCTATTCAAAAGGCCCTGGCAAAGCACACGGCCACTCCAGGCTGTCCCCGGGCCGCTGTTGAAGCTGTGCTGTTGAAGCTGTGCCGAGGGGGAGGCCCTGGAAGGGTCTGCCAAGTCAGAGTGAGTTGGGCTGTTGTTGGCAATGCTCAGAGCTGCCAGCCAGACCCCTGACAGGGAGCCCAAGTGGTTTTTTTCTGAGACACTATTTGAATTATTGTTCAATCAGGCAATACAATAGGCAAGAGAAGAGCAATTAATTAACATAAGGAGGTTACTATATTCTTTGGACTATATGTCATCAAGGTGGTTAATAAATTCTGACAGTCTCACACAACAGAAATAGGTGCCATCAATTGCTATGCAATGATAGGAAAGAAGATAACTAACTCTCCATTGGGCTTTTTGTTTGTGGACAACATACTACTGATAAGCTATAAATGATACAGTGTTGTTATAAAAATACCAGCTTTTTAATTCATTGTGTTTACGGGCATTCACTGCGTAGTCCAGGTTAGGCTTAGTCAGTGATTAAAGGCAGTTTTATTACAGCAGCATGATGTTATTTTATTCTAAAAGGATAAAATGCATAAAGAGAAACAGCATTTATTTTTGTTTGTTATCTATAGAATTGAGCTCTTCTGCTGATATACCCAAATGGCTCTCTGGCATCTACTTTTAGTTTTGCATGTGATCCCCTAATTTTAATTTCTCTTTTCTGAAGGGTCTCATTTGAATCGACCTATGAGAATGTTGTCCATTGTCTATAAGCAATGAGAGAAAGATCTGTGGTTACATGTAAACTTGTGATAGGTCTACGGATGAAGAGGTGAAGAGAGCAGTATAGAAGTCAGTGGCAATCCATCTATGTGAAGGTCAAACCGGCTTCATTGTACACCTTGAAGACTTTCTCAATGGCATTGACATAGGCAGCTGTTCTCAGGTCCAATCCCAGGTTATATTTCATGGCTGTACGCATGATTTGCTGAAACAAAGTAGAAAAAATAGTGAAGACCACCCGACTCAGCATCCAGGCCACATAAGTACATATGGGCTGGCACAAGTTGCCTGTTCCTGTTTCAGTGTAAGACTTGGGCAGCCAAAAAGAAACTACTCAGGCAGTAGAATAACTTCTAGACAGGAAGGACCGATTCTTGAAATTAAGTAAGACACTGTCTAGGCAGCAGCAAGAAGTTGCTCTTCAGAACTTTAGGTGTGAGCTGTCTATGTCCTTCAGACATCCTGCTATCAGGGAGGAATTCATTGGACATGCTCTGTGGTGATGTACAAGGACTAAGAACAGGGTGAGGAGTGACCTGTAGTTAGTGGCGATGGCTATGTAGCTCTGTGGGTACATTTAAAGTTCTTAAATTATGTACTGTAAAGAGGTAAATTCAGTGTGTAATACCTGTTGTGTTATTCTACCTTAAATCTGAGCAGACAGAATTTGAACTCAAGAAATTAGGAAAGCTGGACAAACTGTGTTTAAGATCTTGATATAAGAATCAAGTGGTCAGCCCTAACCAGTTTGGCTCAGTGGATAGACCATCGGTCTGCGGACTGAAAGGTCCCAGGTTTGATTCTGATCAAGGGCATGTACCTTGGTTGCGGGCATATCCCCAATGGGAGGTGCGCAGGAGGCAGCTGATCGCTTTCTCTCTCTCATCGATGTTTCTAATTCTCTATCCCTCTCCCTTCCTCTCTGTAAAAAAATCAATAAAATATATATTAAAAAAAAAAGAATCAAGTAGTCAAAAAGCCTCTAATTTACATAAAATTCTATAGTGCGGTCACTTGCTATAGGACAGTGGTTGGTAAACCGTGGCTCGTGAGCCACATGCGGCTCTTTGGCCCCTTGAGTGTTGCTCTTCCACAAAATACCTGGGAGAGTCTATTTTGAAGAAGTGGTGCTAGGAGAAGTTTAAGTTTAAAAAATTTGGCTCTCAAAAGAAATTTCAATCATTGTGCTGTTGAAATTTGGCTCTGTTGACTAATGAGTTTGCTGACCATTTGCTATAGGATAATGGAAAACCTCACTTCTTCCTACTCGACATTATTAGTTATTTCCATAAGCCTGGTAAACATATTGAAGACCCTGAAAACACTGGCTACCATTTAAGACTGAAAAAGCATGTGCTCTGCCGCACACAAATGAGGATCACACGCTCAGCAGTCTGGGGGCTGAGACCACACTGGGCTGCCCTTTGAGACAGCACAGACAGAGCAGTGGCGCACATACCCTGGCCGAGCGCTCCATGGTATAGGCTAGGCCGGAGTGCACGATGTCTTTCTCAGACGCCCCCTGTTAGGATAAAGAACATGAAGTCAGTAAAACCATCCAGCACATGCTTCACCCCCTGAGCACAAAGGTTGTTAAGTCAATACACAGCCAGCAGAATTAAAGATATACCTAATTTTTATATAACATCTTCAAACCTAATTAGGGAGTTGCATTTTAATCATAATGTAGTTTTCACTGTATTTGACAGCAAACATACTCATGAAGTAAGATCTGACACAGTAAAACAATGAACACAGAAAACCACGAACCAGGAAGGAAGTGGTGAGATCAGCACCGGCCACTGATATGCACTGCACCCCAGCAGCAGGCTCTCCCGGCCACGTCCAGTCCCCAGCCCACAGGGACACACGGGGCATAGAAAGACACTGCATCTCCAGGAGCAGCTCGGGAGTGGAGACCTGAACTTCACAGTGTCACCACTTGTAAAGCTGGATGAACACTAGCAACTCTAACGAATCCCCTAATTCTAATGATGAGGAAACTGTCAACCAGAGAAGTTGGCCAGCTGTGCCAGTAGCTAGTTTTAGAGCTGGATATAACCAAGGTCTTTGACCACCATGCCAGCTCCTCTCTCTCCTATGCCAGTTATCTCTTATCACTTAAGTCTATTTGTTTCAAGAAATCCCTCTATTTCATTTGTGCTCTGGAACACTTTCTAAAATTTCATGTGAATTAACTCTCCCCATTGTTCCTAATTTATAATAAAAGGGTAATATGATAATTAGACAGGACATCTACTAGATATCACTCCGAATGTCCTTCCTGACGAAGCCGGGGCCGAAGGAAAGCCAGCCAGAGTCCCGGTGCTGGGGGGAAGCCAGCGCCGACAGTTGTGGGGAGGAAGGCCTACTCTCGCACGAATTTTCATGCATGGGGCCTCTAGTCTGATATATACAGCTATCAAAAACATTCTGAGAGGCCAGATAATATAAAAAGTGGGTCACGTGCTAGAGTTCTCGGAGAGAATCTGCTGGTCTTGACTCACTGACGAGGGCAGCAAGTGACCCCCGCAGTGCCCAGATCAGAAACATACGACTTCCCAGCTCCTAGATGGAATGGGTTGTCTGTCACATTTCCTCATACCCATTAGGGAGTTAATACCTGCCATAGTGTGTTAAAACCCTTTTCACTATTCTAGAAATAAAGAAGAAAAAAAAGTGGCTCACCAATACAAGTTATCTATGCCAAACTTCATCCAACTAACACTATTCAATTAAGAAGTATATTTCTATAGCATTTGTATCAACTAAAAACTAAGCTTTATTTACTTCTACCGAGGTAAGAAGATCTTGCTGAACAGGTGGACACTGCAGTTTCTTTGATTCAATCTCCCAACCATCAAAACCCTTACTGAGTATCTAATAAGTGCCAGGCACTCTTCCAGGCAGCTTAGGTCACAGCAGAACACACAGTAATGACAATCCTCTTTCCTCATAGAGCTGATATTTAGGTGGAATAGATACTTGGACTTAAAACCCTGAGGCTGAGTGAGATCATCAAAACTGAATTAAGCCGAAACCGGTTTGGCTCAGTGGGTAGAGCGTCGGTCTGTGGACTGAAAGGTCCTGGGTTCAATTCCGGTCAAGGGCATGTACTTTGGTTGCGGGCACATCTCCAAGGGGTGTGCAAGAGGCAGCTGATCGATGATTCTCATCAATGTTTCTAACTCTCTATCCCTCACTGTAAAAAAAAATCAATAAAATATATTTAAAAAAAGCAAAAACAAAACTGAATTCAGACAGAGATCTGGTACAGGGACCAAGTCTCAAAGGCAATGAGAAGGAGAAAAGTGAAGTAAGGAGAAAAGCAGGTGAGTGGTATCTGGAAGGTGAGAGAAGAAAACATTTCAGGAGGAGGGAACACTGTGACAACAGCTGCAGATAGGTCAAGGAAGACGAACACTGAGAAGCGACCACTGGATTTGGCAGTGCAGGTGCCATTGGCTACCTTGAGAAGACAGTTTTGGTGGAGTGATGGGCATAAGAGAAGGTTGCCAAAAGGGAAATAAAAATGGCAAGACCTGAAAGAATAAGTGGGATTAAGATTCACATACACACACCCCTGAAATATATATAAAACCTTAATGTGCAAATAGACTGAACGGCGGGACAACTGAAAAACCGGTAGCTATCATGTGCACTGACCACCAGAGGGTGCATGCAGAACATGGCAGGCATCGGCTGAGGCGGAATGATGGAGCAGGTGAGTGGGGGCACCAGACCAAGGTGGGCGCTGGTCACTGTCATTTGGGTGAGCCTCTGGTGGTTACTGAAAATTCTTTACTCCTGTGTACCATGGTCCTGCTTGGTGCTTACACCTGCTGCCGGCCCTGATTGCCCCTGAGAGCTTCTCCACCTCCCCCTGCTCCTGAGGGGCAAGTGGGACAGCAGCTACGGCACACAACTGCTGACAGCGCCAGACCCACTTGCACCTGCTGCTGGCGCTGGCCCCAATCACTCTGTGCCGTCAGTGGATGTGAGCGGGGCTGGCACCATCGGCATGTGGTGGCAGAAGCAGGGCAGCTGGCAGATGGGACCAGGGGCCGGGTGGGAGTGCAAAGGATGGGCCGAGACTCACCCCTGTGCCCATTGCAGTCTCACGGCCCACAATTCCTTTCAAGGTGCATGAATTTGTGCACTGGGCCCCTAGTATATACACAATTAAAAAAAAAATAAACTTTTATTGATTTCAGAGAGGAAGGAAGAGGAAGAGAAAGATAGTAACAGCAATGATGAAATAGAGTCACCGATTGGCTGCCTCCTGCATGCCCCGCACTGGGGATTGAGCCCACAACCCAGGTTTGTGCCCTGACTGGGAAATTGAACCACAACCTCCTTGTTCATATATTGATGCTGAGCCACTGACTGAGCAAAGATTTAAATATATTTTAGGAGAGCATTTAGAATACCAATAGAAATGATTGCACAGGGGGATTGGTGATGCAGAACAGAGGGGAGGATATGCTTGAGTTAGGCATTTGATTAAGTTGAAAATGGGCCCTCCAATACCCAGAGCAAGACCTGGGGATAGATGGAAGTACAGAGAGTTGCTCTGTAAGAGAGCTGATACAAGGCAGGGTACAGATGCCAGGAACTGGGTACATGGGGAAGTTCTGACTGCTTCAATGTTCTCTGTGAGCACATACCAGGTCAAGAGCTGGAGTGCAGGAGAGAGAGAGAGAGAGAGAGAGAGAGAGAGAGAGAGAGAGAGAGAGGAGAAAATAGGATATTTAGGAGAATGAGAAAACAAATGGAATAGGGGCAGCTCTAAGAATCTATGGTGTTAGTGGTTAGGATCTGAATAGTCTGCAGGGTCTCCAGCTACAGGGGGCAAAGATCTGGGGGTTATCAGGGCTCAGGTGTTAACAGGAGGATCAATGAAGCAAAACTAGAGTGGGAAGTCACTAATGATGGAATTTAAGTTAGACATGGAGAATGCTGAGGACATTAGGGGTGATGAGGGACAGTGAGGAGACAGTAGATCTTGGAAGGTCCAGAATGTGGCTGTAGAGAGGAAAGGAGTTGGAAAAGAACTGTTTTTACAACTGACACCTTAAGACTAGAGGCCTGATGCATGAATTTGTGCACCAGTGGAGTCCCTTGGCTTGGCCTGCAGGATCGGGCTGAAACTGGCCTTCCAACATCCCCCAAACCCTTGATTGAGAGAGGGTACAGGCCAGGCCAAGGGACCCCACTGGTATACAATCCCTGGAGAGGAATGCAGGTTGGCCAGATAGGGAGGGGACCACGGGAGGGCTCCAGGGCGTATCCAGCCCATCTCGCTCAGTCCTGATCGGCCAGACCCCAGCAGCAAACTAACCTATTTGTTGAGCATCTGCCCCCTGGTGATTAGTGCACACCATAGCGACTGGTTGACCAGTTGACTATCTGCCCCCTGGTGTTCCATACATGTCACAGCGACTGGTAGACTAGTTGGCTGTCTGCCCTCTGGTGGTCAGTGCTCGTCATAGTGAGCAGCTGAGTGGACTTAGCATATTATTAGTATATTATGCTTTGATTGGTTGAAAGGCCAACCTGGTCAATTGGACACTTAGCATATTGAGCTTTTATTATATAGGACTAGAGGCCCAATGTATGAATTTGTGCACCAGTGAGATCCCTCCACAAGTGTGCGGGATTGGGCCAAAACCAGCTCTCTTGACATCTCCCGAGGGGTCCTGGTTTGTGAGATGGTGCAGGCCAGGCCGAAGGACCCCACCGGTGTGTGATCAGGGCCTGGGGAGGGCTCCAGGGTTTGTCTGGCCTGTCTCACTCAGTCCCTGTCAGCCGGACCCCATCAGCAGATTAACCTACTGGTCGAAGCATCTGCCTCATGGTGGTCAGTGCACACCTTAGCGAGTGGTTGAGTGGCCTTCGCATATCAATAGCATGTTATGCTTTGATTGGTTGAATGGCCACTGGTCACCTGGACACTTAACATATTGGGCTTTTATTTTATAGGATTCCTACAACAGGTAGGAGGTGAGAAATAGCACTCAGGTCTAAAATTGGAAGATCTGCAAGCATCTGAAAATTGGGAGACCAATAGATTGGACAACATTTATTTTAAAACGATAAAAAGAGCCAAAACTGATTTGGCTCAATGGATAGAGCGTCAGTCTGCGGACTGAGGGGTCCCAGGTTTGATTCCGATCAAGGGAATGTACCTTGGTTGCGGGCAATCCCCAGTAGGGGGTGTGCAAGAGGCAGCTCATCCATGTTTCTCTCTCATCGATGCTTCTAACTCTCTATCCCTCTCTCTTCCTCTCTGTAAAAAAATCAATAAAATATATTAAAAAAAAGAAAGAAAAGAAAGTCATCATAGCTGTTGCCCTACTTATTGCCTAACTAGCGGGGTGTCCTCTTTCTGTGCTCCTCCTGGATGTTTCAATCTGTGTGACTGATATGTGCCAGGTAGGTGCTAGGAGGAGCAAGAAACCCACTGAAGAGCAGCTGCAGCTCTGCCCAGGATGCCCACAGCTCTGGCACGAGAGGGCACTTTCAGGAAAGGTTGCAGAGATGCGGTGACACCTAAGAAAGGAGAGGCTACGGCTTTTCCACAGAGGGACCAGAACTAACAGACATGCCTCTGGGAAAGAAGATTCATTTAGGGGAACAATTAGTATCTAAAGTGGCAAAAGCATCTTCAAAATGATACCCTTAACTTTTCCTCATGTTTTCAATATAGTTTGGGATTTTCACCCGATATGTGCCACAAGAATGTTTAAAACATGCAGAGCTTAACTATTTATTTAGTCAGGGGCACCGATCTCTTTTCTCCTAGACTGTCAAAAAAAAAAAAAAAAAAAAAAAAAAAAAATGAGAACAGCCAACACAGTAGCTGTCTCATATGAATTAATCAAAATTATATCTTTTTTTGGGGGGGGTTAAATCAGTAAAACATTTATTTTTTGGCATGCCACATAATTTTAGTAATTAGTTTATGTGTGCCAAAGAGATGGAAAAGGTTGAAAATCGCTGATATATTCCATGACTGAATATTTCATTTCATAAGAAGATTTAACTGAGCCATTTTTCTGCCATCTATATGACAGTTAAATCAAGGTAACTTTGAAACTGACTGCGAACATAGTTCCAATGACATCCTCATACACGGAGCCATTCCTCTCCTTTGGAATGTTTTCTTAGGATGAGTCCCCAGAGGGGACATTATTATGCCAAAGGGCAGGAACACTAACAACTCGCACTCCTCAATTTTTCAAAGAGCTGCACCAATCTGCACTGCTTTCAGAATAAAGGCACAACTGCTTCACCGAAGACATGGTGACTCGAAGATCCATTGTTTATGATCGTTTAATAGATTAAGAAACCTTTTTTAATTTGTACTCTAACTGCGAGGTTAACAGTTCGTCTAGGCCCATTTCCTCTGACTTGCTTTCCATGCCTTCGCACTTTCCTGGTGAGGAAGCTCTGTGATGTGTGCGCTCTACTGACGTAGCCTTGTCAGTTGCTCATTACTATTAAGCACCCTTTCTAATCTGCTTCCACTCTTATTCGTATCCAGATAGCAATTCCCTTTTTTCATAGAGTTCTAATTTTTATTTTCATTTCTATTTCTCTGAAGCTTAACCAAGTTAAATTCGTAGTAATCCTTTGCCATTACATTAGTATTACTGTCGAGCCACGGGTATTGTTAAGGTGCCAAAAGCAGAAGAGCCATTAGTTACTTGTTTGGAACTAGGATTCTTACAAGTCCTAGGATTACTTTCATGTAGGTGCCCAACCCGAGTCTAAAGAGAGCAGGCAGGTGGAAAGGGGACTGTCCCAAGCACTCACCGATATCCTGTCTTGGAATTCCGATGTGGGCACAACAGGAATAGTCCCACCATGCTTCCCAAATTTCCTTTCCAGACTCTCCTGAACCGACACTATGGAGAGCCAAGAGGAGAGAAGAGAAGACCATGCCAGCAGAAAGTCAAACAGTAGCAAAAGTTGTCCCCAGTTATATTCACAACCCCAAAACCAAGAGTTTTAGAAACCTTCAACATTAATGACACGAAGGGTTAATCATTTAGAAGGATAGAGCGTTTGGCCAAATTCCTATGTAAAGTGAATTCAGGTCACTGCTGTTTCCATAGCACCCATTACCAGGGTTTTTCCTTGGCTCTTTAAAAAAAGAAAATGCTGAGGGAAAGAAACGGAAATAGATGGGTCACTTCACCCCATTCTGAGCAGGCTGAGTAAAGGCGCTCAGTTGGAGGTCTTGGTCTTGTTTCAGCTTCAGGAAAATCCTACTGTTAGCCCTGGAGCCTACTCCTGTCCAAGAAAAAGTCTTCTCCACCAGAAGACTAAAGCATTCTCACACTAAACAGGCTTCACTCAGAGCGACCAGAGGAAACGGGATGCACACCAACAGGAGCTGCCAGTTTAAACTGATGCTCTTTCTTATCCTAACTTGCAGATTATGTTCTTGGAAAATTACATTATAAAACAAACATTTGGATATAAATATATTTAAGAAAGCTAATATATTGCTTACCCATAAAGAAATTATATAGTTTTGGTCTAAGATTCATGAGCAAAATAACATATTTTTCGGTATTGAAATTAATTTACGTTCTTTAGAATTATAAAAAGGAAACTGGTCTTAAGTTTAAGCTTTGTCCAGCCTTCTAGCTGGCCCCAAAGATTAATTTTGGAGAACAAGATCATCAGAACTCACTGAGCAGGTGGTAGTTAGAGTCCCTTTCATATTTGAAGGTCAAACGGCCATAGCTGACGTGATTCAGGTTCTTCAGCCACTCAAAGTAAGACACTGTCACTCCCCCGGCATTCAGGTAGAGATCCTACATGCAAAAATGCGTCAGGAAGATACCAAAGATAAAAGATGATGGTTTAGATAAAAGCTTACAATAAACTAAAGCTCAATTTTAGTATCAAAGCAGATAAAGTGTCAATCTTTCCAAATATATCTTAGCTATCTTAAAACTTCACACTTAAATCTAACAATCTCCCTTTCCGGTCCATCTAAGTTGCTTTTTTATTTGATTTCATTTTATTAATCAAGCATTTAATCAGTTATGGTTAGAGCCTCTTCTCCACCAAAACGGTTTTCTGACAGAACTGCTGCCCCTCCCTGAGCTGGACTGTGCGGGGCAGCACACTTCTGTGAACCTGAATTTTCATACCTTCAGCAAAGGGTTCTAAAAATGCTCCCTAATCCGCACTAACTTCCAGTTGTCAATAACCTGTTGTCTGGACCCACGCTTATCCACTGAAAACATGCATGACCCTCACATTAGCTTCCTGAGCAAAGCTGCAGGGACGCTGAGAATGCAGGCTGTTAGGGTAATAGAACGATCTTTAAGTTAGAAAGATATTTCTAGCACAATGCACATCTACGTAACTAGGTTCTATAGAAGGCTAAACACATACTCAAGAAAGAGCTTGGAGCTAGAAGAAAATGCTCAGGCGAAAACTGACAGGCTTACCATACTAACAATCATGCTTCTATTTTATTTTCTTAAACACAAATTAAAGATGAATTCACTAACAGCTTGGGAAACTAATGATCCTCCCTCCCATAATTCCTTACAAAAACAATTCCAATTCCAAGCATATGTAAAAACTGGCAAACAGATGACTTACTGGAATAACCATGATGTTCCGCTCCAGGAAAATCTTATCCGCTTCCGGAGTTGTTGGCCCATTGGCACCTTCAGCGATGATCTGTAAGTCAGAGACAAATAGGAATGCTGCCACCACCATCAAGTGCCCTCACTGAGCGCCAAGAGATGTGCATGTATGGGAAGGAGGTTGTAGGAGAGAGTAATTCCAGTTTAATCAAATTAATAAAAGTCACTCTGGCCGGTGTGGCTCAGCTGGTTGGAGACATACATCAAAAGGTTGTGGGTTCCCAGATGAGGCAAGCAAATCAATATTTTTCTCTCACATTGATGTTTCTCTCCCTTTCTCTCTAAAATCAATCAAGTCACTTTGCTCTAAAGTATATAAAACTATTTTTCCACCTTTTGATTTCCATAACTACTTTTGGAAATTTGTTTTAAAAGGAAATCCATGGTGATGGTTGCACAACTCTGAATATACTAAAAGCCATTAAATTGTACACGCAGGAGAACTGTATGGTATGTGTATTATCCTATATAATAAAAGGGTAAAATTGACAGAAGGGCGGAACAACTGGTCATCATGGTGCACACTGACCAGCAGGGGGCAGATGCTCAACACAGAGGCTGACCCTGGTGATCAGTGCGCTCCCACAGGGGGAGAAAGAGCTCAATGGTGGAGGCAGGAGCCTCTCCCACCTCCATGGAAGCACTAAGGATGTCCGCTCTGCCTAAGCCCTCGGCCAGACATCCCGAGGGCTCTCGGACTTCTCAGGGCACCCCTCTCCACCCCCCAAGTGCACAAACGTCATGCACCGGCCTCTAGTGTCCCAATAAAGCTGTAAACAAAACAGAACAGAACAGAGGATTCCCAAATGCATACTTTTCTCTGACCTTCAATAGCATCCCATGAGGAAGGTTGGACATTCTCTGTTCTCTTTTACCTTGGCTTTGATTCTGGGTGCATTGGACTTGGTCAGCTGCTTCTCACTGGCAGCAGGAATCAGTATGTCACAGTCGGCCTCTAAGATGCTCCCTTCATAAACCTTTGCCTTGGGGAAACCCAGGATTGATCCATGTTGCTGTAATTGATTATCAGAATTAATAGCTGCACCGGAATTTAGTGCCAAATGACATGAAGACAAAGTTATCTTTAAAGTTACATTTTAAAAAAGCAAGCAACGGCAATAGATTTAAATAAAAGCTATTGCAACTTTACAATATTCAGGACAGTAAAACTGCTCAGATATTAGCTTTAACATACCAATTTGAAGTCTTCCAGTTCCTTTGGGTCAATGCCATCTGGATTCCATATACTCCCATCAGATTCACCAACACCAACACATTTAGCACCAAAGCGATGCAAATATCTCATAGAGTGCAGGCCCACATTACCAAATCCCTGTAAAGAACAATTACTTATGACACAAAAAACAGCTTCCTACTACAGACAGATGGTAAATCACACTCTGTCCAATGCAACTTGGCATTCTGCTAAAAGAAATTCTCAAAATCCCTTTGCCAAAAGAAACAATGAACTAAATGGCTTCCCTTCAACAATAAATTTCTATGTTTAACAATGAACAACCCAACCCTCTGTGTCTGTGATAATGAGACCTGAAGAAGTTTAGTTAGTGCAACCCTGTTGATTTATAAAGAAATCAGAGGTTCGATGCACGGAATTTGTTCAAGGGGCTTGGTTTTTGCAGCTGCGGCAGCTTGCCTCAGCCCTCGCAGCCCTGGCTTTGTCCCAGGGGTCATAGGAAGTCCAGTCTAATTAGCATATTATGCTTTTATTATTATAGATTATAATAGATGATTATAGATGATATGGTGTCAACCATACCACCCAGATCCCTCACGACCAGATGTCCTTTGGTACTAAAAAGTCACTAATTGGGAAGAATATGAATTCTATTTTAAAGTAACATTCAATATAATTTCTTAAGTAATCAAATACCAAATTCTTTCTGTGTACCCCTAATAGTTTAAGTGATTTTCCCCTTCTGGATACAGTCTCAATTTTTAAATACTGATTAAAAGAAGTTGGTGATGCCCAGTAGGCATGGCTCAGTGGTTGAGTGTCAACTTCTGAACCAGGAGGTCACGGTTTGATTCGTGGTTTGATCCCCAGTGTGGAGCGTGCAGGAGGCAGCCAATCAATAAAAACATATTAAAAAACAAAATGGAGTTGGTGAGAGTTCCATATGTGTCCTAGAGATACTTAAATTGCTTCTAGTCACATAATCATACCAAAGCTCACACAATAAAATGCGTAAAATTCTGAAAACTATTCTAAAACTTAAGAGATTAAAAATAATTAAATTTAAAAAAATGCAAATCTAAAAACAACTTAGAAGTTATTCTTTAAGAAACAAAAACTTTTACCTGAACAACAAATGTTTTATCTCCAAACCCTGGTGTCATTCCTAAAATGCTCATGTAAGAAGCTTCATTGATGAAGTTTTCGATTCCATGGAAAACTCCCCGGCCAGTAGCAGAGATGCGTCCGTGGATCCCACCCTGACTGATGGGCTTGCCAGTGACACAGGCATGGGCATTAATATCCTGCAAGAGAAAGCTAGAGCTTCAGAGATGTAACCTAAGGAGAATTTCCTTCGATGAACCAATGGAACGACGGATAGAACCAAACACATTCTCATTCAACTAAAATGCGCTCTTTAGGAGCATCATCTGGAGGCACCTGACTGACTTTTTGAAATTTCTGTTCCCCGAAAATGTGTGAAACTAGGCTAGTATTTCCAATGGGAGGAACAGGGCGTTAGGAATTTAACTTAACTAGATTCCTAAAGTACAAATACAATGTCACAAAAATGGGTCGTATTTTCTTTAAAAAAAGAGTTTTGATTGATTTTTCAGAGAGAAAGATAAAAACAACATCAATGAGAGTGAAACATTGATCAAGCACACATCCCAGGCATGTGCTCTGACTGGAAATCAAACTGGCAACCTTTTGGTGCACGGGATGTCACCCAACCAACTGTGCTACACTGGCCAGGGCCAGATAGCATTTTTAATAGCTTAAAAGTATTATTACTGCTCTAGAAAGTTTGGCTCAGTGGATAGAGTGTCAGCCAGTAGACTGAAGGGTCCCAGGTTCGATTCTGGTGAAGGTACTTAGGTTGCAGGCTCCAGCCCTGGCCCTTGTCAGGGTGTATGCAGGAGGCAACCAATCAATGTGTCTCACTCATCATTGATATTTCTATCTTTTTCTTCCTTCCTCTCTGAAATGAAAAAAAGAAAAAGAAAAAAAAAGAAAAGTAATATTCCTGCCTGGCCAGGGCCAGCAAGGCTCAGGGGGGGTCACACTTCGATTCCAACATGCCGGGTTATGAGCTCAACCACCAGTGGAGGCAACAGGATGCAGCCAATCAATGATTATCAAAATTGATGTTTCTCTCTTTCTCCATTCCTCCCTAAAACCAATGAAAATATAACAAAGTATTATTCTTCCAACAAATAACTTATACCATACTTAATCAGGATACATCCAGTCCTTAAGTGTCTTAAAATCTACCATTAAAACTAACCGGTTTTGCTCAGTGGATAATGCAGCTCTAACTGGTTTCGCTCAGCGGACAGAGTGTTAGCCTACGGACTCAGGGGTCCCAGGTTCTATTCCGGTCAAGGAGCATGTACCTTGGTTATGGGCACATACCCAGTAGAGAATGTGAAGGAGGCAGCTGATCCATGTTTCTCTCTCATCGATGTTCCTCTCTATCCCTCTCCCTTTCTCTCTGCAAAAAAAAGAGAAACCATTAAAAAACAACAACAAAACTTGAGTACATCACCAAAACAGAGCTTTGAAGGAAGAGGCATTATGGTGCTCTTCAATGGTAAGGTTCAATGTTGTAAAAATACTCTTCTGTCAAACTAATCTACAAATTTAATACAATACTACTTTTAAAAAAGCACTTGAACCGAGACCGGTTTGGCTCAATGGATAGAGCGTCGGCTTGGGGACTGAAGGGACCCGGGTTCGATTCCAGTCAAGGGCATGTTTGGTTGCGGGCATATCCCCAGTAGGGGGTGTGCGAGAGGCAGCTGATCGATGACTCTCTCATCAATGTTTCTACTCTCTATCTCTCTCCCTTCCTCTCTATACAAAATCAATAAAAAATATATATATTAAAAAAAAAAAGCACTTGAAAACAAACTCAAGTTCACCTAAAAAAAAGTGACTCAGTGGATAGTGTTGGCCTATGGACTGAAGGGTCCTGGGTTTGATTCGGTCAAGGGCACATGCCCAGCTTGTGGGCTTGATCCCCAGTAAAGGGTGTGCAGGAGGCAGCCAATCGATTTTTCATCACCATTGATTTTCTATCTCTCTTTCCCTCTCCCTTCCTCTCTAAAATCAAATCAATCTATCTATCTATCTATCTATCTATCTATCTATCTATCTATCATCTAAAGAAGTGGGCCAGCAAAAGTATTCAAGGGAAAAAAATGGCATTTATAGGAGCAACACAGTTCTCAGTCTGTATTAACTGAGAATAAAATAATTTGGGGCAATATGGAATAGTTGCTAAAATAAGAAAACCCACTAACCCAGAAATTCTACTTCAAGAAATTCCAGTTTTTTGTATATTTAGTACAGTACCACTTGGGTTAAGAAAACAGGCACATGTGAGTAGGGCACAGAGGCCACCGCTCTGAGTGGTGCCTCTGGTTCGCTGTGGGCGTGAAGTGAGGGCAGGGCTTCATCACCACCTGTCTGGGCCCGGAGTCGATGGGCATGTATTCTTGTGCAGAAACAATAGAATTAGAAAAAAGATGGAAGAGCTTGGGAGGGCTTCCCTTCCAAGGCATCAAATATGCTATAAACTGTAGCAACCAGCACAGAATAGACCAATTGGATTAGTGACAGAAGAAAGGGGACAGTCCAGTCTTACATAGGAAATCAATAAAAGTGAAGAAAGCATTTTACATGATGGCTAAGACACAAACTATTTAATAAGCTTAGGCAATTTGCTACCCATGTGAAACAAGTGCCTTACTTCATAACTTACCCTACCGTCCAATAGACATCCTAGCTTGATGAGTTAAAAAGTGATTTGGTACTTTTCTGCATTGTTTAAATATTTTTATAGGGATAGCTGAGAACTTTTACTCATACAAATGCCAACAGAAAGAACAAAATTAATGGGGAAAAAAAAGTAGTCGAGTAAAGATTTACAGAATTAGTTTTCCCACAGTTTCTCCCATGAATAATGAATGCAGAACTGCAAGCCTAGTGCCATTTAAACAGTGGAAATGCGAATGCCAGAGCTGACAGGCGTGGTGCCAGCCGGCCCCCAGAGAGCCTAATTGCTCTGGAAGCCCAGAACACGGCTCTTCGAGGCGGGGCCAGACAAAAGGGGCCGTGTGGTTTAGGCTCACTCCTGGAATAACAAAACTATGCTTCCTGATTGTCCTGATTTTGAATTTCCAATCATTTTAAGGAAAAGCCATTCATTAGTACAGCCTGAGGTTCCCGCTGGCAACATCTCACAACACATTCTTTTGCTATCACTACTGGGAATGAACTATGAATAACAATATACTTGTCCACTACTCCGCACACTTCAATCTAGTGTCTCACTTAAAAAAGAACAGGAGGCCTGGCCAGTGTAGTTCAGTGGTTGAGTATAGACCTATGTACCAGGTCACGGTCGATTTCTGGTCAGGGCACATGCCTGGGTTGCGGGCACAATCCCTAGTAGGGGGTGGCAGGAGGCAGCTGGTCAATGATTCTCTCATTGATGTTTCTCTCTCTCCCTTCTTCTCTGAAATCAATTTAAAAAAATATTTAAATAAAGTTAAAAGAACAAGAGACCATACCTACAACTCCCCAAACATAAAAGATAACATGTAAGACTGGCACTTGTAAATTTCTTGGTAGAATTTTCCCATAAAACCACCCATGCCTTGTGTTTTCTTTATGAAAAGGCTTTATTTATATTTTCTATAAATAATAAACTCTACTTTAAAAGACATTTTTATTGATTTCAGAGAGGAAAGGAGATGGAGAGGGAGATAGGAACAATAAAAAAGAATCATTGATGGACTGCTTTCTGCACGCTCCCTACCAGGGATTGATCTGTATATAAAGTTTGGAAACATATGCACAACCTGAGCTCGTGCCCTTGACTGGAATCAACCTAGGACCCTGCGGTCTTCAGGCCGATGCTCTGTCCACTGAGCCAAACCAGGTAGGGCATAATCTCTACTTTTTATTAGCTTTGTGGCTCTTCAAATTTTCTATTTCATCTGTATCACTTTGGAAAAAAAAATTAAGGAATTACTACACTTATAAAAATATCCTACTTGGGAATGACAAACCAAAATTCTTTGTAGTATCAATGTCTCATACTGCTGTTTTATGTCAGGGCATTTGTGTAACTGACCTGATACAGTATTTATAAATATAATACTTCTTTGTGCTAAGGGCATTACATGACTACCTCACGAAGGAAGGAGTGTTATCACTGCCATTGTACAGAGAAGGAAGCGGAGGCACTGCCACGGGTCAGAGCTGGTTGCGAAGGAGCCAGGCTAGAATCCAGGCTGCCTGCCCATGTCCTCCCTGCAGACGGCACCCCAGGATCAGACTGATCTCTGCGAACAGCCAACTTCTCTCTCTTGGGACAACAGCCATCTTTCGAATTGTCTTCCATTTTCTTCAAATGGAGACTACTCTTCATGTCCTACTCCCCTCTCACTGCCCCTGCCCCTTCCCCTCTCCTCTGCCCCTGCCCCATCCCCTCTCCACTGCCCCTGTCCCGTGCCCTCTCCACTGCCCCTACCCCATCCCCTCTCCACTACCCCTGTCCCGTGCCCTCTCCACTGCCCCTACCCCATGCCCTCTCCTCTGCCCCTGCCCCTGCACTGGCTCCAGGACAAGCCAGCTGCTGAACTGGTTTCTCTTCAGAACTTCCCGTCCCCCAATACGCATAATTCCTTCTCTGTAACTGAGTGCTTACTTCCTGTCAGTGGCTCCTCAGTCTGCCCGCTGCTCTCCAATGCCAGGACGGGTTAACATCACTGTCTTTCTGGGCCTTACAGGCTCCTGCCCAACAACCCCGTTCGCCACCACTCACAGAGTGAAGCTCCAAAGGCACACTTCACTGTGTCACACACTCACTCCAGTTAGTGCTGCACTAGTTTCCCTCCGTACACAGGACAAAGATCACAGTCCTGCTGGTGCCTACAGGGCGATACTGGTCTGACCCTGCTCTGGGGACCTCTCTTAGGCCTCAAAGTCTCACTCTCTCCTCTGGACACCATGGCCTCCTCCTGCACATGAGAACAGTTCCCCAGGTGCGTCCTTCCGCTTCTAACACTCGCCCTCCCTTACTCTAGTTGGTGCCTGCGCATCCTTACAGGCTTCTCTCAGCTCACCTCCGCGGGCTCGGCCAGGCTCCCCTAGCTCCTTCCACAGCGTCCGGACTTGTAGCTGTGCTGAGCACCTGTTACACTTTGCTTTGCAGATAGTAGGTGCTACGCATACTTTAAGTGAAAGCTTTTTCCCCTGAATGTTTGTTTTCAGGGCTTAATCCCTTCCAGAGACAGAAAACTAGTTTTCTTCTCAGGTTCTGTATCAGTGGCATCACTTCTGCTCCAGTCCTTCTGGTTCTCTCCGACCCGACATGGTCTGTTTCCTTGATCCCTTGCGTCCTACTCAGTCCTGCCAACTGGTGTCTGCCAGGGCCCATGCTGCCCAGCCCCTGTGCAGGAGGGCCTCCCTTTGCTAGCGCAGCCTGACACTGCCTGCGGCTCCCATCTGACCAGCAGGGAAAACTAAAACCTTCGGGGGTTGATACTTTGTCCTAGTTCACGCACCTTTTCACTCTAGCACATTTCTAATATGCCTTATCTTCAGACAACCTAAACTCTATCCCACTCCCCAACTCCCCCTCTGTTCAAATCCTACCCATATTCAAGTTCTAGTCCAAATACATCCCAGGCAGCCTTGTTTTAGAAACCACAGCTCTCCACCGTGCATCACACTGCCTCCACACCTCATCTGCTTCTGCCTTCATTCCTCCTAAGTGAGAACATGAGGAAAGTCAGGACGGGATGCTTCTTCACTTCGTTTCTATTGTCTGAGGGCCCCATCCCGGCATCCAGGATAGGGAGGCACGTAAGGCAAAAAGCTCAATCCATGTTCCCTATATTTATGATTTAAGACTAGAGACAAAAGTAAAATAACATGCAAATCAAGATATGATTAAAGGGGAGGAGAGAAACCCGGTGAATTCTCCATTTTCACATATAACACAACTTGTTCCTTTTTGTAGACAGCAATGCAGCCCTGGGGCCTCTGGGTGAGTACTCACATAGTGCCCGATGGTGCTAGCATAGGTGTCCGCAATCCAGGACATCTCTCGCTCACCCGTGCTCATGTCTGGGGCAGGCACATCAATGCCCGGACCTGGGGGCACAGGAAAAGCATTGCACCAGTTTTGAAGATAAACTCATCTCAGACATAAAGACCTTTGTAATTCTCTAACAAAGCTGCCATGGCTAGGGAACTTTAGATTTCACTTAGGGAAATGAAGTCATGGAGATATTTCTAAACATTTCACTACCAAATTTATACACACACAATGTTACATGGAAATTCCTCCGCTGGCATTTACGTGGAAGATAGCTATGTGCAGGATAAGCTACTCGGTACAGCTTCTGTACGTGCAGCATTGGCAAATCAGTCTGGCCTTTGGATCTCAGTTCCGTAAACTGCAGCCAGATATCATCGCAATCAGCTCTGATGAAGAGGACTGTTGAGGGCAGAGAGTACTAGCATATGGTACGCTACCACACCTTTCTGGCTGTAAGATCTCCTCAGCTAATAGGAGGAGGAAAAATGACACTGCTAAAGCAATTGCATTAAGGCCACATTACTTTTACACACGATGGAATGCTGCTCTGACCTATTATTCAAAGCTTACTCAGTGTACATAAAGTTTTAGGCCTTGGCTTTCAATTCCTCAGATCACAGTAAATAAATATAACAAGTTAGCTCAAAAGCAGCCATAGGTACCAATGACTGTACATAGTGAAATTCAGATAAAAATGTGTTGCCTGGCTGGCGTGGTTCAGTGGTTGACCTAGGAACCAGGAGATCACGGTTCAGTTCTCAGTCAGGGCACATGCCCGGGTTGTGGGCTTGATCTCCAGTGGGGAACATGCAGGAAGCAGCCAATCAACGATTTATCTCTCATCATTAATGTTTCTATCTCTTTCCCTCTCCCTTTCTTTCTGAAATCAGTAAAACACATTTAAAAAATGTGTTAAATAATGCTCACTCAAATATGTAAAGGCAGAAATGTGTAGAAATATTTCTACCAAAGAAAGTGAGAATAAAAGGCCGAAACCGGTTTGGCTCAGTGGATAGAGTGTCGGTCTCCAGACTGAAAGGTCCCAGGTTTGATTCCGGTCAAGGGCATGTACCTTGGTTGGGGGCAAATCTCCAGTAGGGGGTGTGCAAGAGGCAGCTGATCGATGATTCTCCCTCATCGATGTTTCTAACTCTCTATCCCTCTCTGTAAAAAATCAATAAAATATATTAAAAAAAGAAAAGAAAGTGAGAATAAAAGGATGATCTACACCCATGTAAATGACTTAGCAACATCACCAAAACAGACATGAGGAAAACATGAGGAAAAATGCAGGTTTATTACACCATGTATATGTTCCTATGTATGTATCTTTCTGTGTCTCTATGTATAATATATGTGCACAGACCATGTGCAGATCTGTATATAAAGTTTGGAAACATATGCACAAACTTGCTCAAGCTCTTTGGATTTCATTCTTGTTTATAGGTTTCTATATTATTCCAACTGAATAATAAAAACTCATTGCCCCCAAGAAACCAGACCCACCAATCAGAAAGGATATATGCACCCCTATGTTCATAGCAGCACAGTTTACGATAGCTAAGATTTGGAAACAACCAAGTGCCCATCAGCAGATGAATGGATTAGAAAACTGTGGTACATCTATACAATGGAATACTATGCTGCTATAAAAAAGGAATTTTTATCATTTGCAACAGCATGGATGAAACTGGAGAGCATTATGCTAAGTGAAATAAGCCAGTCAGAGAAAGATAAATATCACATGATGTCACTCATACGTGGGATATAATGATCAAAATAATTTGATGAACAAAAATAGATCTAGAGACAAATGGCAGAGGAGGTGGTGGTGGTGGTGGTGGGGGTTTAGTGAGCAACCAAAGAACTTGTATGCATGTATATTAGCATGACCCATGGACACAGACATTGGGGGGGTGGGGGCTTGCCCGGGGTGGGAATGGCTGGGGAACGGGAGGGCAGGGGAAGGGAGGGAAATCAGGGAAAAAGGAGATATATGTAAAACTTTAGACAATAAAATCAGAACAATTCATTGTCTTTATAAAAAGAAAAACACAACTTAAAAAATGGTTAAACTGCGTGGCTCAGCAGTTGAACGTCAATCTATGAACCAAGAAATCACAGTTCAATTCCTGATCAGGGCACATGTCCAGGTTGTGGGTTTGATCCCCAGAGTGAAGAGGGGGCAGGAGTGCAGGAGGCAAGTGATCAATGACTCTCTCTCATCGTTGATGTTTTTCTCTCTCTACCTCTCCCATTCTCTCTGAAATCCATAAAAACATATTTTTAAAAAATGGTTAAACTATTAAGTCTCTCCAAAATAAAGATCATTCTAACAACTGTACTCTAAGTTCTTTCTATAATTTTTACTTTTATACCAGAAATATAAGGTACATTTTAAGGTTCTTCTATATTTCAGGGGCCAAGGTCCTAGACGCTGCACTGTTTTGTACAAGTTAGGATGCAATGGATAAAAACTGGTATAAGACAACTTGGAAATGACCACAGTTTACTTTTCTCACTCTAACCTCTTCCCCCACTCCATCTGGAACTCTATGCCCTGGTAGCTTTTTAAAGACATCTTATAAATCTCATGAAGTCTAACTGTCCATACCCATTCTCACCCCACAGGACTTTATGCTTGGAAGAAATACGCTAATTCTAGACTCATCTTCTGACAAAAGGGCACTAATGGAAACAATAGGTCACTGCAAGCGTATTTTGTTTTTCAAAGTAAAAGGTTGTAAACTTAACAGTTTACAAAGAGGATATTTAAATTCATACAATTAACAAATATATTTCACAAATTAAAAAAAATATAGAAGAAGAAAGAATACTTTCTGACTTAGTTTATTAGCCACTGCTATCCTGATATCCAAGACTTCACAAGAGCACTAGTTGGTCTGGCTCAGTGGATAGAGTGCTTGCCTATGGATTGAAGGGTTTTGGGTTCGATTCCTGCAAAGGACACATACTTGATCTCCATCCTGGTCAGGGCAAGTGCGGAAGACAATGGATCTATGTGTCTCTTATATTGACTGGGTGTTTCTCTCTCTCTCTCTCTCTCTCTCTCTCTCTGCCTGGTCAGGGCAAGTGTGGAAGACAATGGATCTATGTGTCTCTTATATTGACTGGTGTTTCTCTCTCCTCCTCCTCCTCCTTCTCCTCCTCCTCCTCCCACCTCTTTCTCTAAAAATATCTTTGGGTGAGGATGAACAATAATGAAAGACCTCACAAGAATCTTGCAGATTAATATTCTTTAGAATATCAAAAAGAATAAAAAACTTATGAATAAACTTTTAAAAGGTAGCATAAGACTTGTACTCTGAAAACTAAAACATCACTGAGAGAAGTCCAAGACCTAAACAAGTGGAAAGATATTCAGTGTTCACGGCCTAGAAGACTTGATATGGTTTTGACAGCAACACTCCACTGTCTTCAGATTCAATGCAACCCCTCACGACATCCCAGCTGACTTTTTTGCAGAAACTGTAAAGCCCATCAATGTGAGAGGGCCAGGACTCAGACTCAGGTTAAAATTACAACCTGAAACTGTGGAAAGGGAAGCCAGGAAATAACATCAATTCCACAGGGTTTCCCAGGACTAGTCCTGTGCCCTGGAGGGAGAGAGAGAAATCCTTCTGCTTCCATCTTATGCTATACGAAGCTTGCTTGCCCAGAAGTCCGGTTTAGTTGCATCGTGGGTTAATAAGGAATGGGGCTTTTGCCCAAAATAAGTCAAATTGCTAGTACCTAAGCTTTCAGAGTTTCAAGGAATTACTTTTTAACCTTTGGAACTATAAGATACTTGTCAATATAGAGAAAATTAAGTTGAATATACTCTGACTAATGGGCAATAACTACAGCTGAGTAAAGTATAATATAACTCAAGACTATTAAATACTTCTGAGATTTCAGAGAAGAGGAAATGACATAAAAAAATTCTGAACACCATCCATAGGCTGAACATGACTTCAATTCATAAATCTCAGGGTTAGTAGGCATGCCTGTGCAGGAGGCAGTCAGCTCACTAACTCGGGTAAGCCCACAGTGGTGTTTAGGAAGAGGAGGCATGCCACGAATCCAAATGCCTTTGAAATACATTTATGATAGGTCAAATCTAGTCAAGTTCTAGTATGATCTATATTTATCTTTATTAGTTTATTTGAGTCATGCCCTTATTCCCTCCTTCCCCCTAAAAATAGGGCCAATTTCACAATAAGCATATCTTAAGTTCATGGGAATTTATGAACAGAGGGGAGAATGTTGGAGGAGAAAACAGGGGCAGGAATAGAGAAAAAGTAGATCTTTCCTATGTTAGTCTTCTTTGGTTTGACTATGTTGAAAAGGCAAACATTCTAGTAATTTGGTTTATTTTACTAAAACAAATGAAAATATTTCTAGAACAAGAAAAGAAATATATAGGCTCAGTGCTTGCTAATTAAAGATTGAATATTCATATATCACAGAAAAGAATATTCCTATTTCTCAAAAAAAAAATATGACACAGATAATCATTAATATGATACTAAAACATCAACCAAATGAGGGTCAGTGCCTTCAGAAATTTAGTCTGGCAAAAGCTCCCAGTAACAAACAACAATGCCAGAAGCCCTCAAACCCAGCCAGGACAGCAGGGAGCCTCCTGTCTCGGCCTGGCCCCTGCTCTGCCTCCAATTCCAGAAGGCACTAGCTTTTTCACTGCTACCAGGTCAGGGTTACTACTGTAACACTGCCTTTTACAGATTTGAAAACCTTTATAGTAATAGAGGTATTTGTTAGTTCCTAAAAACATGGCCCAAGGTTTCTGAAGTTGCAATTGATTGTAAATGCTGTTAGAGGACCGGAACCCTTCGCTGTGAGGAGAAGAGGTGGAGTGGCCTCTCCTGATGTCCACACTGCACACTGGGAACTGGAATTTCCTACGAGAGTGTCATAGAGAGGCCCGGTATCTCACCATATTCCTCTCAGAACCCATGTCTTTCTCAAATTAAAAAGGGAGCACTATCCAGGCATGGGTTCAAATTAAGACGATTACTTTTGAGATAGTCTCATTCTATGTGGAAACCTACATGGCAACACATACCAATAAAGCCTTTCTTGGCCAGTTCCATGGTGAACCTCCTCGTAATCTTTTCCAACTCGTTATCCTGTAAAGAGAAAAACAAAAAACAATGAAAAAGACTTGGATAGGAAAGCCACCTGTAGAGAAGCTAGCTGCATCATATTTTTTATGTATGGAACATTTTCATATAGCTTCTTGTTTTTTTCAGAACAACTCATAAAGCAGGCACTTTAAAGATAAAGAAATGAGAGATCAGAAATTAGGTTATACAAACAATAGAGTAGAAGTAGGGTTCTAATCCTAGTTCCTGTTTTCTTTATGAATATAAAATCATGTTCTATTTTCATTTTAAGGGCAAGGAGAGAAACTAAGATGGCGGCATAGGGTAGACACCTAAATGCAACCTACCACAACAATATTAAATTTACAACTGCAAAACAGAGGAAACATCGACCTGAAACACTAGACGGCTGGCTGAGAGGAAGCTCTACCATCTAGGAAGGAAAGAGGCTCAGCATCCCTCAGGAACTGTGAAGGTGTGGAGAACATGGAAAAGGTGGCTGCTGGGTTCATTGCTGGCTTATTCAAGGCACCCAGAGCGGGCTGACAGCTAATGCGCGGCTGGCTTTCTTATTCAGGAGGAAACAGAACCGCCCTATTGCTCTGATGGACAGCCACAGTCAGGGAGAGGCTGGACTGTCAGACAGTGGGCAAAGCTCTCTCGGAGGTGCGTGTAGCCAGAAGCCATTACTGCGGGACTCAGAAACCGGATCCTCTTAGGGAGGGGCTGATGGGAAACCAAAGCTTGTCTGCACCGCCCCGAGACTCCGCCCAATCCAAGTGGAACATAGAAACCCTCCTGGAGGCTGGCTTTCTCATTCAGGAGAAAAAAACAAAACTCCCAACTGCACTGAGACACAACTCTGAGCCGGGAAAAAACTGGCTGTCAGGAAGCAGACAAAACTTGATAACAGACTTTACCCAAGAAGTGCATGTGCCTGCAACCAATCTTGTGGGACTCGCTGCGAATAGGACTTTCCTAAGGCGGGACTGACGGGGAACCAAAGATTGTCTGTGCCACCCTGAGACTCTGCCTCATCCAATCAGAGCACAGAAGCCCTCCTAGCTGAGACACTGCTGATCCTCACAGCCAATTGGCTTGGAGATCGTTTCCCAGTGATACCAACAACAAGCAAGGCTTAACAACAAGACTGCAAACATAGTACACAAAGGGCTGCACCAAGACTGTCCCCCTCAGGTAACTGGTAAGGCTGTGCTACTGGACTCTACCAGGACACCTAGCACACAAAACTATTCCATTAAATCAGGGAAGCAGCTAAAATGCAGAGAAGAGGCAGGACACAAAGGAAGGAAATGGAGGAAAGTAAAAAAAAATGGACATTGAGTTCAAAACTACAGTTACACGATTTTTCAAGAATTTCCTAGAAAAGCCTGATAAAATAAACGAGACCTATGAAGATATGAAAAGGGGTCAAGTAGAAGTAAAGAATACATTGTCTGAAATAAAAAAATATTATATATAGAGTCCTAAAAACAGACTGGAAGATCACAAGAATCAAGTAAAAAATTTGGAACATAAAGAGCCAGAGGACACTCCTCCACAGAAGCAAGAAGACAAGAGAATACAGAAAGTTGAAGATAATGTAAGAAACCTCTGGGACAACTTCCAGTGAACCAACATCAGAATTATGGAGGTCCCAGAAGAAGAGAGAGAGCAAGATACCGAAAACATATTGGAAGAAATAGTGACAGAAAACTTCCCCCACCTGGTGAAAGAAATAGACTTACAAGTCCAGGAAACTCACAGAACACCAAATAAAAGGAATCCAAAGAGGACCACACCAAGACAAATCATAATTAAAATTCCAAGAGCAAAAGATAAAGAGAGAAAAGCAGGTAGTTACCTATAAAGGAGCACCCATCCGATTGTCAGCTGATTTCTCAACAGAAACCATGTAGGCCAGACAGGAATGGCAAGAAATATTCAAGGTGGTGAATAGCAAGAACCTACAGCCAAAAATACTCTACACAGCAAAGCTATCACTCTGAATGAAGGCCAGATAAAGAGCTTCACAAATAAAAAAAAACTAAAGGAGTTCATCACTGCCAAACCTGAATTATATGAATTGCTGAAGGGGGTTCTTTAGGAAAAGGAAGAAGATAAAGATAAAAATTATGAACAACAAATACGTTAACTATCAACAAGTGAATCTAAAAACCAAGGGAATTAAAAAATCTGATGAATACTATTAACTGGTGAATATAATAGAATCAGAGGTATGGAAGGGGAGTGAACTGACAATTCTCAGGGAAAAGGTGAGTGGGGGGTGCGGGAAGAGACTGAACAAAAACTGTGCAACTATGGATGAGGACAATGGGGCGTGGGGAAAGGGCAGAGGGTGGGTGGGAACCTGGTGGAGTAGAGCAATGGAGGGGGAAAAAAAGAGGAACATTTGTATAATCTGAACAATAAAGATTTATTTAAAAAAAAAAAAAAAAAAAAGAACATGCCAAAATCGGTTTGGCTCAGTGGATAGAGCGTCGGTCTGTGGACTGAAAGGTCCCAGGTTCGATTCCGGTCAAGGGAATGTACGTTGGTTGTGGGCACATCCTCGGTGGGGTTCTGCAGGAGGCAGCTGGTCAATGTTTCTCTTTCATCGATGTTTCTAACTCTCTATCCCTCTCCCTTCTTCCTCTTTGTAAAAAATCAATAAAATATATATTAAAAAAAAAAAAAAAGAACAAAAAAGGGCAAATTTTTTAAAAGAATAAAATCACATATTTATTATGTTTGTGTACAAATGTTAATTTGATACTGTAAAAAGCATAATAACAACTAGATTAAATATCTTGGACCTAAGCATATGCAATAAGATTTTTATCAGATTTGGTAAGATATTTGTCACTAGAATCTTGAGATCCTGATATATAAATCTCAGATCACAGTAATTTAAAAATCCTAGCTAATAAAGAAAATATGTTAATTGACCCTCATGCCATCACAAAGATAGCAGCACCCACAGCCAATAAGGAATATGCTAATTGACTACCACATCCTCAAAGATGGCAGTGACCACAGCCACAAGATGGTGGTGCCCAGTTCCCTCAGCTGCCCCAGCCACCCAGGGCCATCCGAGGCTCAGATAACCAGCCCTGGCTGAGGCTTGCGCTGCCAGCAGTGGCAACAGCAGAGGTGTGATGGGGTGTCGCCTTCCCCTGATGGCTGGGTTGCCTCCTGCCCCTAAGGGCTCTTGGACGGTGAGAGGAGACAAGCTGGGCCAAGGGACCCGCCCCCCCTCCAGTGCATGAATTTTCATGCACCGGGCCTCTAGTATAAACATAAGTGCCTAAGAATATGAAGGTATTAATTATCCTTTAACCAAGTATGAAAATTGACATTAAGCAGGTGACCTCTTATATGGCAAATACTCAATGAGTTATTTACTTGATTTTCCATTCCTTTTAAAAGGGATAGAGACCATTAACATCACTGGTATTGGGGGCAGGGGCACAGACATCTAGTAACTTCAAGTCTTTTGCCAATGCACCACATGCACAGATGTCATTGTGATACTTACACTATAGTTCTTGGGGTTGATTTTAACACCAGCTTTGGCACCCCCAAATGGCACATCTGAAACAGAAGGCTGAAAGTTGTTATTCCAAAGAAAGGATAACAAAGTTAAAAAGGAAGAAAGCACTACGCAACATTACAAAGATGTGCATGATTTAAACTTTAATTTCAGAAAATTCAAGCAATAAACCATATTGACCTCTTCTAAAACATTGCACTTTAAAATTCTAGTGAACAGAAATTATAAATCCAGGCAAGTTACAATGCATATTTAAATCAGTGTGCTTAACTATTTCTGAAAGCAAACAGCATACTTATTTTCCTTCTCGTATAATCTGCTCTTCTGCTCCAGATTTTATGGAAAGGACCTTGAACAAAGGTCTATACTTAAAGAAAATCCAATTAGATGATATAAAAAGTTCCCCATTTAAAAACAGGTTAAATCTAGCTCTGGCCAGTGTGGCTCTATTGGTTGAATGTCTTCCCTTGCACTGAAAGGTCACTAGTTTGATCCAGTCAGGGCACATGCCCATGTTGTGGTGTGTATGGGAGGCAACTGATCAATGTTTATCTTTTTCTCTCTCTTTCCCTCTAAAAATCAATTTAGAAACATTAAAAAAAGACTAAATCTTAATTAAGACTAACTGGAAAATGATGTAAGCCTTAAACTGTGAAATAAACAAACAAAATCAGTTCTCATAAAATATATTTCTCCAACATCTTAAAAGTAACCTTGTAAATACACATTTCCCCCTAAAGAGCTCTCTTTGGTAACAACAAAAGAGATCACTTACCAACCACTGCGCACTTATATGTCATCAGAGAAGCCAAAGCTTTCACTTCATCTACACTCACGTCAGTGCTGTAACGAATACCTGTAGTGTTTAAAAAAAGGGAAGGGGAGGGAAAAAGAAAGGAATGCATTTAGAACATCCTCACAGGTTAAAAAAATGCTATAAATAGAAAATGTGCCTCCTTTTACATTGTACACCCTGGTTATTTCCAAGAACACGAAAAAAAGCTAAGGATGAGAAGTCAATATGAAAGGCCAAAGAGGGAAAGCTGCGAGTTGACACCCAAAAAGCGCAGCAGGGCGAGCAGTGACCTGGGTTTTTAGCATTCTGATAGAGAGACTGGGGTTGAAGCCCCGTTTTTGCTCTCTGGCAGGAGTAGCTGAGAGCATCAAATAGCGTTCCCAGGGATTTAGAGAGGAATAAGAACCGGTCTTTCAGTAAGAAGTAACTATGATTTCACAAGAAAGAAATTACCTTCAAATAAATGATTTGTACACTTTTAGGAAAGCAACTAACTCAAAGTTTTATTTTCTTTTGCTCTTTGGTTTGGGTGATTTGGCAGTGGGGAGTTCAAGGAATTTCCTTCCTTCCTTCCTTCCTTCCTTCCTTCCTTCCTTCCTTCCTTCCTTCCTTCCTTCCTTCCTTCCTTCCTTAACTTTCTTTATTGATTAAGCTATCACATATTTGTCCTCATCCCCCACATTCCCATCCCGAACCCCTCCCCACGCATGCCCCCTCTCTCAAGGAATTTGCTTTCTGACAACATACAGATATGGGCAAGTGGATAATCCACAAGTATGACAGATCCAACTTCGATACCAGATGGCAAATAGATGGTACACTCAGAGCACCTTCCGCCCTTCACCCATTCCACTGCTAAGAAATGAGCAAGCTGAGAAAGCCATCTCTCATTCATGGGGACAAGCAATTCTTTTCACTCTTTCTACAAGGATGGATGGGTGGCCAACCAGATAGGCAACTTAATGCCCTGTATTTAGAAGCACCGGTGTTTGATAGAGGGGACACAGAAATTAGGTATACCCACTACTTAGGTTTTAGGAGTCTTAATCAATCACACCCTTCTAAGCTGTGCAGGGGTAAGCCATGTTTTGCACTCCACGGTCCATTGCTTCTTAACCCCAAGGAAGAGGCCTGAGTGTTTGACTGCACATTGATTGGTTGGGCATCATCCAGGGTATCTGGATGAAGCTGGGTACAACTTCCCCAGAGTCCCAGGAAATGGGGGACGAAGGGACATCTCAAAGAATTCTGGAGAAAAAGAATTCCAGATGGAAATACACTAGTATACTATCTAATGAATGGCAGTTTAAGGAGACTTTCCTAGTTATTTTTAAAAACTAGTTTCTTATGTCTCAGAAAACATCTATTTATACATAAATTATGCTTTAAGAGAATTTTATCTATTGTGCATGTGATCATACAGAGCAAATTCTGAAGCTGAACATGTGTCTGTAGCTTATTAGAAAAATAAAATGATTACTTTAGCAAGGGACCTTTTAGATCTTAATAGAATGGGTTCTCAGAACATCTGTGGGATAAAGTTGTAAGACTGAGAAATAACAGGTATATTATTATTTGTTTAGCAAATAGCCAATGTCTGTACAGGCTGATTCCTCCCCCATTTCTCAGGTCCCTGTTACAAACTTTCCATTCCAAGAAGCCCTCCCTGATCACCCCATTTAAAATAGCACCTCTTCCACACCCACTTTCTAGCCCCTTCTGTCTTATTTTGTTTTACCACGAACTTAGTTATCTACCTGTTGACCTCCTGGCTTGCCCATGAAGACTGCTTTATTTCCTGATGTCTCATAACAGAAAATGACATGTATAAAACACTTAAACACATGTTGAATAATATATGAATATTTCTTGACACTTAAAACTTAAGGTAGAAAGAGAAAAGCCATGGCCACTAAATTCTGATATACATGTAAATGCTGCATAATTCACCCTAAGTGCTAAGACGAAAAAGTACTGAAAAGCAAAAGTACTAGCACCTAAAATATACTCCAGACAAAAATAATAGAAGTTATAAGATTAAGACCAAGTATTTGCATTGAGGCCTGTGCAGTTCCCAACCTGTCCGTGGTTTGGCGTTGCTATCTGCCTCATAAAGCAAAAAAGAGGATTTATCTTCCGGGAAGACCAAGCTGTCTCCTCCAAGCCCCCCACATAGAAACACAAAACAAACAACCCCAGTATGTGTCTTCCAAATGAAATGGGAAAGTGACTGGCTGGGATGCAGTGTCCAGCACGTCCTAAGCAGGGCCCCAGCGAGCCAGGCGGGGAGCACCTGTCACCTGGGAGGTGCGAACACTGCTCGTTGGCTTCGTTGTCAGGATTGCACAGGACAATGTGTATGAGGCTTAATGAACCGTAATTTCCTTTTTTCTCAAGATAAATTCATGGGGATAATAAAACAGTTTACTATTAGTTAGTATTCCTCCTATTATACATAAAGCACATTTTTCATTACCTTTTCGAGCCCATGGAAGTAGCCACCGAGTTATTTTTATTTTGCTTGCTGTTTTAACACACTGCAGAACAGTAGTTTATTGCTAGCTTTACTCAGTGGCCAAATAAGTTTCTATTGAACGAATACAAAAAACATTTTAAAATTAAATACCCATTGCATTTTGAAGTTATTTATTACATGTTCTTACAAGCTAATGTCTCATTAAAGTATGCCACTTTAACGAAACCAGTTTGGCTCAGTGGGTAGAGCGTCGGCCTGCAGACTAAAAGGTCCCAGGTCAAGGGCATGTACTTTGGTTGCGGGCACATCCCCAGTAGGGGGTGTGCAGGAGGCAGCTGATCAATGTTTCTCTCTCATAGATGTTTCTAGCTCTCTATCCCTCTTCCTCTCTGTAAAAAATCAATTTTAAAAAAAAGTGTGATACTTTGTAAAACACTGTGTAATATGCAGTGAGATCGTGATCCGCCTGCAATGTGTTAAGTGGGGGAAAATGGTAGTAAAAGTTACTTAAACTGTTAATCTGAAAAACACAGTCTCCATGTACCATAAATAAAATACTCTGTATCAACACTTGAGACAAAACAAACTCCAGTAATAAAGGAGTTACTCACATGCAGGGAAGCTAGTTGCTCTTCCTCCTCTGGGATTGGAAACCAAAGACAATTACTAAAAACATATTGTCACCTGAAATTCTTAACTATATCATGCTGAACACTAAGAATATGATTGCAGAAAAGAGACACTCAACTGAGATTGTAAATTCAATGGATTAGCGGAACCGGACTACTGAAGGGCAAAATGATATGACACATACTTCGAAGTTCTGCAAAGGGAAAACCTAGCATTTTTGGATGCCTAATACCTCAATACTCAATTTGAAGACAAAGTTGTTCAATATGCACATACATACAAGAGAGCCAGAAAACCTTAAAATATTTCAAAGCAAAATAAACCAAGGAAGATCATATATTTGCAGTCTGAATATTCTCACTTTTTATAAGGCCGGGTGAAGTGCGGCAGAAAAGGTAAAGGTGAGCAGGACCACCCTAGCTTGGGCCTGTGGACTGAAGGGTCAAGGACTTGCAGGCTCCCTTCCCATCCAAGTGGGGGCACATGTGGGAGGCAGCCAATCCTATCGATGTGCCTCTCCACTCTAAAAATCAATTGGGGAAATGTCTGGGGCAAGGATTAACAACAAGAAATGGAGCAGACCGTGCTGCTGGAGCTCGCCCGCCTCTTCTCCAGGCTGTACACCTACAAGCGCACCCATGCTGCGTATAATCTCCTGTTCTTTGCGTCTGGAGGGGGCAAATTTAACTATCAGGGGACCAAGCGCTGGTTAGAAGACAACCTGGACCACACAGATTCCAGCCTGCTCCAGGACAACGTGGCTTTCGTCCTCTGCCTGGACACCGTGGGCCGAGGGAACAGCCTCCACCTGCACGTGTCCAAGCCGCCCAGGGAGGGGACGCTGCAGCACGCCTTCCTGCGGGAGCTGGAGATGGTGGCTGCTCACCAGTTCCCGGAGGTGCGCTTCTCGATGGTGCACAAGAAGATCAATCTGGCAGAGGACATCCTGGCCTGGGAGCACGAGCGCTTCGCCATCCGCCGGCTGCCTGCCTTCACCCTGTCCCACCTGGAGAGCCACCGCGACGGCCAGCGCAGCAGCATCATGGACGTGCGGTCCCGGGTTGACTCTAAAACCCTGACCCGCAACACAAGGCTCATTGCAGAGGCCCTGACTCGAGTCATCTACAACCTGACTGAGAAGGGGACGCCCCCGGACATGCCCGTCTTCACAGAGCAGATGCAGATCCAGCAGGAACAGCTGGACTCGGTGATGGACTGGCTCACCAACCAGCCCCGGGCTGCCCAGTTGGTGGACAAAGATGGCACGTTCCTCAACACACTGGAGCACTACCTGAGCCGCTACCTGAAGGAGGTGAAGCAGCACCACATCAAGGCTGACAAGCGGGACCCCGAGTTTGTCTTCTACGACCAGCTGAAGCAGGTGATGAATGCCTACAGGGTCAAACCGGCCATTTTTGACCTGCTCTTGGCAGTCTGCATCGGCGCCTACCTCGGCATGGCCTATACGGCGGTCCAGCACTTCGACCTCCTGTACAAAACAGTTCAGAGACTACTCCTGAAGGCCAAGACGCAGTGACGAGGCCCTGCCAGCACCATGTGCCCCTGCCCGCCACCCTCACCACCACCCCTGGCCTGCAGGGGCTCACCAAACCCCCCGAATTACAGAGCTTTTCTGTGTTGCTCTTGAGGATTTAGGGGGTTCTTTCTCGTTTTTGTCTTCGAACTCCCTTGGAGGAGCATTTGGTAGAGTTTGGGGCCAGACCACGGACTTGGGAACAAGCGGTGGCTGAGCCTCTGGCCCAGGAGATGGCCCTCAGGCGCTAAGCCGTGCTGTGAAGGGAAGTTTGCCCGGCACAGCCTTAGGGTCACTCTGCTCGTGATGCCAACCACGGCTGGCACTGGCTCTGCATCTGTCCTCCACGCTGTCTCCACCCCCCTCAGTGTCTTGGATGCTCTCTTCATGTTGGTCTGAAGAGGGCAGCACCGGCCTCTG